CCCTCCGTCGGCCGCCGCGGGAGCCCGGCTGGTCACACACGCGCCCGGCTGCCTCGCGGGGCCGCGGGCTAGATGACGGTGGACAGCAGCATGAGTAGTGGGTACTGCAGCCTGGAGGAGGAACTGGAGGACTGCTTCTTCACTGCCAAGACCACCTTCTTCAGAAGTGTGCACAGCAAACATCCTTCCAAGGTAAACATCATGATCCAATGCAAGAGCCTTTCACTGCGGGGGGGGTGGGGTGGGTGGGGACGAAATCACCTCCGCGGTCCAGAAGGGAAACCTCCGTCCTGGTCAACAGGCAAGGCCATGTGCTACCAGAGCGGGTGGCCAGTTGCCCTGGGGACCCTCTTGAACTCCTCGGCTGAGCGGACCAAGGGTTGGATCCGGAGCCCTTCCGGGACCACCAGCAAACACTCTTCTCTTTTTAATACTCTTTCCAGTATTTCCTGGCCTGGACCTTTTCAAAATGGCTCTCTGTGACTTGGGGACAGCTCTTGGTTCAGGGTCTCGTGACATGCTCACCTCTGCCTGGGAGGGTGAAGGGGCAACTGCTCTGTGTCACTCCCCCAGCCTGAGCTTTGAAGCTCTGGGTGGAAAGTGGATGGCACCCAGTAGGATAAACATGCATAGGTTGAAACTTCCGTATTGTGAGTGGCCCGAAACCATCTTAAAACTTAGCGACTTTGCAGAAGTGCAGGGTGTTTTTAGAAGCAAACTAAACCTTCTCTAAGTCTTTGTCCTGCTACCATTTTAACTTACTGACTTGGTTGGGGTAACCTAAAGGGGGTTGTATGTGTTTCCTAATGGGGTTGTATGTGGTTCCTATAGCAACTCTGGGCACCCTGCATGCCTGAGTCCCCGGGCCACACCCTCCCAGTTGCTACAGATCATCCTTGGTGGGAGTGGTGGCAGAGCTGTTTATTTGTTATGTTATTTAGATGAGAGGATTCCAAGCCAGGTCCTTGGAGAGGTTGCCTAACAGGGACTGCTCATAGAAGTGAGCTGTTAAGTTTCACAGGTGTGTGCAGGCTCATCATTAATTTAGCAGTCCTACATGGGTAGATTAACCAAAAACTTCCCCAGACCTGACTCTGGGGCCTCCTTTGTGAATAATTCATCTTGCCCGTAGGCCCTGCATTTCCTGGGTTCTGACATCACGAAAATGTACTGGACCTTCTAATTGTGAGAAGACACCCAAGAACCAAAAGAAAGGTTTTGATATCAGTGTTTGAAGGAATCAACTAAAACGGGCCCCTGGAACCAGCACCTGCTATCTGGGGCACCCCCTCATGAGGCTGGGGAGCAGGGCCCGTTCTGGGGGGGCTGGGGGCAGGAGTAGGTAGGGCTGTAAATAGGGCTCGTGCAGAACAGCATGGCTGCCGAGGGGAGGTGTCCTGCTGTGTCTTGGGGTTCTTGCTTTGTTGTGTGGACGGCCCCCCACCCCCCACCCCACAGGCACTCCAGCTGTCTGGGGTCTTTAGACTGGTGGTTCTCAACCTTAGCTGCACACTGGAATTAGCTGGGGAGCTTTAGCAAATGTGGGTACCTGCCCACAAGTAGAGAGACTGACTTAATTGGCTTGGGGTACAGCCTGGGCATCAGGATTTTGAAAAGCTCCCCGGGTAATTCTGATATGCAGCTGAGGTAAAACCATTGCTCTAGAGAGTTTTGCTGCTGCCTGGGGAGGAAATGGTTCCTGTTTTGAAAACCGAGTTTAGCTGCTGTGCTTACTGCCAGGCTGTGAGCCCTTGGTCCCAGAAGGTGGGCTTTTGGCAGAATGGGGAGGACGAAAGGGCACTGCAAAGCTGGGGTTTCTTTTACTTGGCAAATGAAAAAGGTAGCTGTGTCTGGTATTTCTTGGGAGAGATAGAAATATCTTGTAATAAAGTATGCTGGGGTGGGGTTGGGGATGGTGGGTGACTTACTTGTTCCTTGGCCCAGACAGCCTTCTGTCCTCCTCCCCACCTCCCAAAGCATCACTCCTGAAAATACTCCTTTGGTTCGGTGCCCACATCAGCTCTTTCTTTACTTTGTCTAGTTCTTGAATCCATTCCCTACCATGAGGCCTCCGCCTGTCTCCCTACCTCATTTTGCCCCAGCACAGAAGCCCTCAGGGGGCAGGAATCCCTTCTAAGAAACTCATTTGTTGGACCCTGCATGGGGCGATAAGGATGAATGCTTCTGAAGGGAAAGGATGGTGGGCATGGCCCCTCTGAGCCTGGCCTCCGCCGAGCCCCTGGATGAGAAGATCTGGGCCGAAGGGCAGCGTTCCTCAGCCCAGACTTGCTTCCAGCGCCGCCCCGTCTGGGGAGCAAAGTCTGGGGGTGAAGGGCTGTGTGCCCGCTCGGCTGGGGAGCTGGCGAAGCTTCATCCGAACGCTTCTGTCTTTTGTCCTTCGAAGTGTCGTTCCGCCTTTAATCCCATCTTCAGCTCCGTGCTCTCCCTCAGAGCCACTTGTGGAAGGGTGTTTCAAAGAAACCTTCTGCCCTATCACGATCCCATTCGGACCCCTAAGGATGATGCTTTCTTCCTACCCGAAGACAGATCACCTCTGAGCTCCTAAGGGAATCCCTCTTTCCTGTCTCCAAGGAAAGGCATTTGTGTGTTTCCCCGGTCGCTGAGAGACTAGGGCCCCCATCCCGGCAACGTCAAGACAGAGGCTATAAATAGCCTTGTCAGAACAACCTGTATCTGCCGCCCGGCCTGTGCCTGGTGGGGACCGGCCTGTGCCTGGCGGGGACCGAGCTGCTCTTCCTGGTGCCACCACCCGGGAGCTGTCACTGGCCCCGCCTCCAAGGAGTCCCCCCTCCAGCCCCTTCGGTGGGAGGTTGGGGGCGGTGAGACAGGCCTCCCCATTCACAGAAAGGAGGCACCAGAAGGTGGGGAGACGGCAGCGGAGGAGGGGGACCGCGCCCTGGCCCTTGCAGAAAGTGGCAGCTGTGTGGGGTGCTGTGGCTCACCTGAGGCGGCAGGGACACCAGGTCTGTCCAAGGTCACGCCGCAAGTTTAGGTTGGAGCCAGGGTTAGAACCTACACCGCTTGCCTCCCGACCCAGAGATTTTTCTGCGTTAGTCCGATGAAAGGCAGCCTGTGGTGATTTCCAGGGCTGGTGACAGTGAAGCCAGGCCCTCTGGCCATCCCTGCCATCAGCTTCTTTATTCCTGTCTGGGGTCGGACCCTGGAAGTGGGGCCAACTTCTGCCCCGTCAGTTTCCCCAGTGCCCACAGGTGGCGGCAGCTTGGGTTTTGACCTCTGAGCTCTCCTTGTGTCTCCGGGACCCCAGGACTCTGGAGCCACCCAGAGCATCGGGGTGGGCCCCCTGAGAACACATGATGCCTGCTTCTTGCAGAATGTCAGAGCTGAAAGGGACCCGTTTGGTCTAGTGCCTCACTTTACAGATGGAGAAACTGAGGTCCAAAGAGGTGGGAAGGCTGCACCAGGCCACATGTGTGGTCAGGTGGACCCAAGACTAACACCCTTCTTGGACTTCTGTCACGTGCTCTTCTTGGTCCTCTTCACTCAGTGGGTGACCCCGGACCAACTATGGTCCTTGTCTTCTCAGAGCCTTCTACAGAATGGAAAGACCCAAACAACTTCAGGCTCCAGTCCATAAGGCACACCAGTCAAGGGGACATTGGCCCTTATATTTAACTAGCAGGGAGTTCCCTGTCCGTTCCAAAATCTTACAACTTTAATCATTTAAAAGTTGTCTTTGGTGTCTATCCCAAAATCCCACTTGCTGGATATTCTTCCTCGTGTGTGTTTTCTTTGTGGATACGGAGGACAGAAGCTGACTCTATCTGTGGTTAAATATCCTTCCGCACACGTGGAACATGCTCCCAGCCCCTCTCCAACTCCTGCCCTCAGGTGTTCTCTGGTCTGTGCTGACACCATTGACTTTTTTTTTTTAATTTAATTTTATTATGTTATGTTAATCACCATACATTACACCGTTAGTTTTTGATGTAGGGTTCCATGATTCATTGTTTGCATATAACACCCAGTGCTCCATGCAGAACGTGCCCTCTTTAATACCCATCACCGGGCTAACCCATCCCCCTACACCCCTCCCCTCTAGAACCCTCAGTTTGTTTCTCAGAGTCCATAGTCTCTCATAGTTCATCTCCCCCTCCGATTCCCCCCCCTTCATTCTTCCCTTCCTACTATCTTTTTTTTTTTTTTTAACATATAATGTATTATTTGTTTCAGAGGTACAGGTCTGTGATTCATCAGGGAGGGTATGTGCTATGGTGAGAGCTGTGAATTGTGTAAGCCTGATGAGACAACCGTTGACTCTTGAAAAACTCAAGGCAGATGCAAAGAGGAAGGGGGTCTCAGGGGTCAGAGTAGAAGCCACCCCTGGTTCTGTTCCTACACTTGTCCGGCCATCAGCCCCTTTCCTGGACGGAGCCTCTGTGGCACGCCTGGGATGTCAGCCAACCCTGATGACCCTGGGACCAGTCAGGGAAATACCCGTCTCTCCCCGGGCCTCAGGCACACCCAGGCCTCAGGCACGGCCCCAGCCCCTGCCCTTCCCAGCATGAGAGAAAAGAATACTAAAAAGAAATTTGTTCCAAATTAGAGCAGTAGAGATAACATAAGAATCTTCAGAAGTGTTGGACTATTTAATGTTTTTAGGTGCTATCTCAGGAGCCTGCACAGACCAAGACTAACCTCAAAAGATGTTTCATGCCGGCCCAGCCCCAGGATAACCTTCCTTTTAGGCTGTAGGCTGTATCCCCCTCCCGTGGAGTTCACCGCCCATTGCCTTCTCTGGCCCTCCCTGGTGTTGGCTTTTCTCTGTGCAGACGGTAAACCTTGGAAGACCACAGCTCACATCCCCTTTCGGATGCAATGCTTCACCGAGCACTAGTTTCAAAAGCAGACTTCTAAGTGCTGGTTGGGTTTAGTTGCTATGTCTTCTCTCTTGCATCCTGTATCACTGGGATGGACTAAAGATTATAACAAACAGCCCCTGCTTTTCAGTCATGGAACGTTAAGAGCAAGTTATTTCCCCCTTTAAGTCAAGTTACATTGGCAGGTGGGGACTCCACTTAACACATGGGAGATTTTTGTGGGCCAGGCCCGGAAATGGTGTTTTTTACACCCACACGCCATTGGCCAGAACTGGGTCACGTGGCCACACGAGGGCGGTTGGGAGATGAAGTACAGCTGTGAGCCCAGGTGGC